AGGGTGTGGTGTGGGGAGACCCCTCGCTCCTGCTTTAGGCTGTGAAAGATATAGATCTCACCTGAGTCAATGATGCAATATAATGCAGAGTCCAAGAAAACATGCTCAATGAGGATAGGCATTGAAAGTTACACACACGGACCTAAAGCTTCTTGCCACTTCTTTAGCTCATTCCTTCTCAATAATTTTAAGATAGGTATATCCCAATGAAAGCAGAGACATCACCTTGCCAACAAAGGTCCGTATAGTTAAAGCTATGGTTTTCCCAGTAGTGATGTATGGAAGTGAGAGCTGGACCATAAAGAAGGCTGATCGCCGAGGAATTGATGCTTTTGAATTATGGTGCTGGAGGAGACTCTCCCATGGACTGCAATAAGAACAAACCTATCCATTCTGAAGGAAATCAGCCCTGAGTGCTCACTGGAAGGACAGATCCTGAAGCTGAGGCTCCAATACTTTGGCCACCTCATGAGAAGAGAAGACTCCCTGGAAAAGACCGTGATGTTGGGAAAGATGGAGGGCACAAGGAGAAGGGGATGACAGAGGACGAGATGGTTGGATAGTGTTCTCGAAGCTACCATTATGAGTTTGACCAAACTGCGGGAGGCAGTGGAAGACAGGAGTGCCTGGCGTGCTCTGGTCCATGGGGTCACGAAGAGTCAGACACGACTAAATGACTAAACAACAACAACATATCCCAATGAACTTACAGTGATTTCTTATGATTTCTTATTTATTAATTAAAATAATTTCCATGCTGCCTTTAAAAATACAGTATAGGGCATTCAACAAAAATTAGAAAGCAACAAAACAATAACTGGACAGCAATTAAAATCACGCAAAGCCAAACAATTTAAAACACCTGAGTATACAAGATCTAAGAACCAACACAAAGCAGTAAAATTGCTAAAAGAAACCCAGAAAAATCAGTAATAAAAAGCATTATAAGAAAGGTTTCAGAACCTGTGAGATCATCCTAGTTCATCGTCACAACTACGCTTTGAGCCGGCTTAGGCTGAAAGATTGCAAGTGGTCAAAGATCATCTATGCTTATTGAGTGGCGTTAAAACCTGGACTCCAACAATCTGCTCACTGCAACACATGGGTTCTTCCACTTCCTTGATCACTTGCAATATACTCCCCCCCCCCCAATGCTATTCATTGCCTGATTATAAATATGTTTATAAAAACATAAGTCCTACTAAGTTCACATTGAGTTATCCTTCAAAGTTTTCCTGAGATTCCAGAGCTAGACTGTGATCATGCATTCTTAAAGCCCAATGCCATGCATATCTTCTCAGGAATAAATCCCATGGTGTTCAGTGAGACTAATTCTCAGTTAAGAACTACAGTGCTAAGCTGATTCTGCTGCTGTCTGTTATGACTCACACTTCTATAATTTGGCACACTTATTTAAAATGATTTCTATTCAAATCAGTGAGACTGTATTCCTAATGAACAAGGTAAAAAATAGAGGGTTGCTTTGTTTCACTAAATCTGCAGCGATTTCTCAGTTCGCATTTGTGTTTTTTTGGTGATTTAATAATTTCAGGTGAAAAGAAATCAAGTTATAAAAAGCTGATGAGATGATAGAAGGAATTTATGTTCACCCGTATAGAATTTTCAACATAGAGCACATGTCTAGAATAGGTTCTAATGGCACATAAAAGCTCTGAGAGCTTTCTTCGTCCGAAAAATGATTAGCAATAGAAGGATAGTTTATAGGGTGCTTTTCATTGACAGTGTACTGAATAGAGCACTAAAGAATATAGGAAATTTGCTCTACTTATTGGGCAGGGGTGCAATCAAGCACATTTACATAAGTCAAAAAGGACATGCCCCTCCAACAGGGAACAAATTACACCAGCTCTGGAACACTGGAAATGTCTTTTTTGCCCCATTGAACTCAGTGGAGCTTCCTCCTGAGGAGGTATGAATGGCAAAATGAAAAACTTGCCCCTACTTGCAGGATCACAGGGCTCATTTTTATTTTATTTTATTTATTGGATTTATATACTGCCCTATATCCAGAGGTCTCAGGGCGGTTGACAAAATAAAAATAAAAATGGTCCTGACTTTGGATTGTACAGCCAAGCAAAAAAGTACTTGTTGCGGATCAAGCTTTATTAAAAAGAATCTCTTCATGCTCCTCAACCCAAATGGGACTGAACTCCAGTGAACATGGTGGGTTGTACTTAAGAGTATCCAGGATTGCTATAATACTGTTGTGTGCACGCCAACCTCAAAGCAATGAGAGATTCCAGGCAGGGGCATAGGAAGGAGGGATGAGGGGCTGCGATCCACCCTGGGTGCCACCTCCTGGGCAGGGATCACCACGACAATCGCCCTTGTGGGCAGCCTGCCTTGCCCCTGGGTGCACGGCATGTTCATCGCTCCATGAGCCAGAGCGGCCAGGTATGCCGCTGATTCCAGGGGTTCCAGAGCTTACCCAGTGTTGGTTTCCTTGGAATGAAGGTCAATGTACATATGGTTATATGGATATATGGTGGGAGGGTTCGCTGCATTAAACTCTAACAGATCTTGCCTACCCATCAGGTTCCTAGATCCCGCCCCAAAATGCATAACTTTGGATTCAGTATATAGAAAGACAACTTTCAGTAAAGTCGTACCTTGGATCCTGAACACCTTGGTACTTGGATGTTTTGGCTCCTGAATGCTGCAAACCCAGAAGTGAGTGTTCCGGTTTGTGAACATCCTTTGGAGCCCGAACGTCCAACAGGGCTTCTGCAGCTTCCAATTGGCTGCAGGAGCTTCCTGCAGCCAATCAGAAGCCACACTTTGGTTTCCAAACGTTTTGGAAGTCGAACGGACTTCCAGAACAGATTCCGTTTGACTTTGGAGGTACCACTGTATCAGCCAAAACACAGAGACCACATTGGCCTATTGTTCTCCATCCGAGGATGATGCAGCATCTAGTCGGGTAAGGTGGGAAAAGGCTCACCCATTTGTCTCTATGGCAAGTGGGCAACCGCTTTGGCCATGTAAATGGCAGTACTTAACTGGCCAGCTAAGAGCTTTATCTTACAACTTGACTGACTGGTTCAGCTTATTCTTCTACTAGTTTCCAAACCTCACAAATACAGGATCACAGATATGTAAGGGATCTATGGATAACATCTATATTGACCCCCACAAACATATAACAATACTTTCACCTTTTTAACCCCTTTCAAGAAAAACTAGGAAATAGACATAGATAATCAGACAGGATATTTTTCTTCTCAGAGATCAACTCCAATGTAATTTGGGGTAGTAAAGTGTCCCAAATTTCACTCAATTTATTCATTTCCCAACATTTATATACCACTTGTGTATATAAATATAGCCATGTGTGTTCTGCCAGAAGAACAGCACTTTAATCTGCTTCCCAGAATCAGTTTTTGCTTGTGGGAAAGGACTTTTTAAACCCCAGAAACTAATGAATTGACACAGGCAATCTTAGCGAATAATTTTCTGCTTCAAGCCATGTTCAGACAAACTCCTGAACACACATCTAAACTAAAATGTGAAGTTCTGATGATGATGATGAAGATGATGATTAATTATACCCTGCCCATCTGACTGGGTTGGCCCAGCCACTCTGGGCGGCTTCCAGCATATATAAAAACATAATAAAACCTTAAACCTTAAAAAGCTTCCCTATACAGGGCTGCCGTCAGATGTTTCCTAAATGCTTACAAGGCACGTTTCCAAGTAAAACTACTTGCACATGACATCAAGCTATCACAGATTAACCTAACACAAAATCCAGATTACAACTTGGTTACAAGCACAAAGCAAAGATAAAATTCATGCAAAGCATGCAACTCAAACAGGTGAGTCAATCCACAGACTTTACATCAAATAACATACATGCAAGTTGTTGTTAAGAAATAACATTTTAAAAGACATTCTGGAACACCTCTACCCTGTTATAGACAGGAATTTGAGGTTCTGCATCTCAAATGCAAATGGAAATCCATGAGGTAGAAGATGAATGTGGCAGTAAAACATTATCACTATTTCTGCATGCATAAGGCAGGCATGCGGGTATCATTTGCCAGGCTGATATTGTGTTTCCTTTATGGCTTCACTAGCTACAACTAACACGTGCTGTTGTACAGCTTGTACCATTGGGGGAAGGTGCAATCTGCAGTTTTCTGGGTACTGCTACAAGCCCTATAATTCCTGATCACTGGCCATGCAAGCTGAGGTTCATGGGAGTTGGAGTCCATAATCTGGAAGATAACAGGTTTCCAGGCCCTGTTGTGCCTATTTACTAAGTAAAATGGAAGGGAAATAATTCTGTAACTTTATAAGTACACAGAAGATTTTCACTATCTCTGTGAAAGGAAATCTCTGGTGGAATGATTTATTTACAAAAAATAAAATGGAAAATCAATCCAGCCTCTTAAATGAAAGATTTAAAGTATGATTGACCAAAACCAGAAGAGTCTTGCTCTTCATTTCACAATTTTTGAACTTTTGTAACGGAGTAACTGATGTCAGTTTCAAGAAGTTGTATGGATTATATACAAACTATCACTTATATACTTAGAAAGGCTAGACTACTGGAAACACCTTAACTGTGACTTCACTTCCATGGCTATATAATATGTAATAGTGGGAAAGTGATAAATGAGAATAATTGAAAACACATCACAACTTTGCTAGATGTGTAAGAAGTCTGAATATAAATATCAGTGAAGTAAGTGTTAGTACACAGTGCTAGATGGTTTGAATATTTAGAATTAACAGACTTCACCCTTTAAGAACATTTTCATAGTGAAAAACTGCTGAAATCATTGACATTTTCGACAATGTATCACAGAAATCAAATTTGCCCTTTAGTTTTCCAAATCCCTTTGAATATGTATGGTGATAGGTAGTCATTTCTGCCCCCCAGCACAGGTTAGAATAATAAAACCATTGGACCATATTCCCTTAATGTTACACTGCCTGTAAGCAAATACCTTTGCCAGCTCAAGTGACAAACTCACCTTAAAAATCAAATCCTTTTTCCCATAGCGAAGCTCCTTCAGTTGGGCTTGGATCTTTTTTGACTGCAAGCAGAGGATAATACATTAATCCTTTAAGTAATTTATATTTTAAAACCTGCAGAGGAAAATATATTAAAGTTCAGGTAATAGGACAGTATATCCGGGGTGGGGGGAGGTTTGGTAAAATTACAACTGTTGATGAAACGAGCTGTGTTTGCTACAGCTATGCTGGTCTTGCATACATTATGCACATAAAACAAAGGGCCAAATTTACCACTTTATAAAGAACATGGCAAGAACAACTGACACATCAAGAATGAGATTGCTCTTAATACACATGTTGGCCTGGAACATGAGTGCAAAGTAAGCTAAGTCAGGTCAAGGAGACTTTGTCTTTCCCTCTTTCACCCTTAAGCTCTCTTTGGCCCTCAAAAATGGGCGATCAGAGAACCCTTCTGAACATGAGGTAGGGTACAACAGAATGTTAAGGGAGGGCACATTATGCAAAATTGAGTGGAGCCACTTTTCATGATTCCGTTTAACTCACAAAATATGGATCTGCACCTCTTTCCCCCACCCTACAAAACCCCACCCCATGCTACTCTGTTTAGGATTATTTCCATTCTATCTCAATCTCTATAATGATCTCTATAAATTGGTATAATCAATTAGGGCTTGGAGCTATCCAGACTTTTCACAATTTGTAGTGAGAAAATATCTGCTAGAAATTGTTTTTCATCACTTTGTATCTGCAAATAAACCACTCAGGAAATTCTTGTTTGCAACCACATGAAGATGTGTAACATGAAGCAGCTTGCTTCCATGGGGATTTAGTCGTGTTTACCACAGCATCACAGAGACACAAAATAAGTCTGCAAACCACTTTGGGAACAGCTGGAGCTGCTCTGACTAGGGCAGTGGTGGCCAAACTTGGCCCTCCAGCTGTTTTGGGACTACAACTCCCATCATCCCTAGCTAGACAGGACCAGTGGTCAGGGATGATGGGAATCGTAGTCCCAAAACAGCTGGAGAGCCAAGTTTGGCCACCACTGGACTAGGGACACTCTGAGGTCCTGAGAAGTTGCTGAAAGGTTCCTGGTGGAAAGGTACTGGTTCTGGTCATGCCATGCCCCCCATACTCTTTAAATTGCTTTCCCCTGATGAGTGTAAACCCTATAAAGCTGCACACACAAGAGGAGCATTAGAGAAAGGACCTTGTAACCAAGGAGCTTGTAACCAAGAACATTGTAACCAAGTGGTAGCTTAGTTCTACAGTGGTGCCTCGCAAGACGAAATTAATTCGTTCCGCAAGTCTCTTCGTCTTGCGAGTTTTTCGTCTTGCGATGCACGGTTTCCCATAGGAATGCATTGAAAATCAATTAATGCGTTCCTAGGGAAACCGACTTCAGACCACGTCCGGGGACAGTCTGTCCCCCGACCTCTTCTGAAGGCTGGGGGGGGGCAAGGGCTTTTCTTCCCACCCCCAGCATTTTAAAAAACCCCGGGACAGCGGAGGACGTCTCCGCTGTCCGGGGTGATCTTAAAATGCTGACGGGCGGCATTTTAAAATCACCCAGGACAGCGGAGGACTTCTCCGCTGTCCGGGGCGATTTAAAAGCCCCTGGGAAGGCAGGCATGGGGGACAAAGACTTTCGCCCCCGCCAGCCTTCAGAAGAGGTCCTGGACCTCTTCTGAAGGCTGGCGGGGGGCGAAAGTCTTTGCTCCCCCCGCCTGCCTTCAAAAGCTGTCTGGCCCAGGCTTCGCAGACCTCTCCGCAAGCAGCGGCAGTGCTGCCGCTGCTTGCGGACAGGTGCCAGCATGCCGAAGCCTGCGCGCGCTGAGATCAGCGCGCCCAGGCTTCCCGCCCCGCCTCCCGGCATCGGGGCATCGTCCCGATGGCGCGCGGCGGCGGAGGCGTTCCCCCCCCCGCCGCCCGGGATCGGGGCATCGTCCCGATGGCGGGCGGCGGAGGAGGCGTTGCCCCCCCCGCCGCCCGGGATCGGGGCATCGTCCCGATGGCGGGCGGCGGGGGGAGGCGTTCCCGCCCCGCCGCCCGGGATCGGGGCATCGTCCCGATGGCGGGCGGCGGCGGAGGCGTTCCCCCCCCGCCGCCTGGCATCAGGGCATCGTCCCGATGGCGGGTGGCGGAGGAGGCGTTCCCGCCCCCCCCCCCGCCGCCCGGGATCGGGGCATCGTCCCGATGGCGGGCGGCGGCGGAGGCGTTCCCCCCCCCGCCGCCTGGCATCGGGGCATCGTCCCGATGGCGGGTGGCGGCGGAGGCGTTCCCCCCCGCCCGGCATCGGGGCATCGTTCCGAAGCCCGGCGGCGGCGGGAGGAGGTGTCCCCGCCCCGCCACCAGGCTTCGGAGGAGGTCCAAGGACAGCGGGGAAGACACGCTGCGCTTCCCCGCTGTCCCGGAGATTTCCCTATGGGCTGTCGTCTTGCGAAGCAAGCCCATAGGGAAATTCGTTTTGCGAAGCGCCTCCAAAATGGAAAACCCTTTCGTCTAGCGGGTTTTCCGTCTTGCGAGGCATTCGTCTTGCGAGGTACCACTGTATGCATATCTACTTGGATATGGAGTTCGCAGAGATTTGTATGGGATGTAGATTTGTATGGGATGGCATCCTAAACCAGACTACAGGATTATCTGCCCCATTAGTTTCTAACCAGAAGTTGCACTGCAAAGTCTCAAGGAGGTATTTCCTAGCCCTGCTGCATGTGACCTTTTAAGCTGGGGAAGCCAGGGTTTGAATTTGAACCTATAATCGTATGCATGGAAAGCATGTCATCTAACACTGAACTGCATGCACTCATGAGACAGGATCATTTTTCATAATTAAACTCTGCAGATCAGAAACATGAAGTAAACTTCCTCCCTACATGCTGAACTTTGCTTTGTCTCTTGCAGAAATTTTATTCAGCCGGTTCTATTTCACAGGCTGCCTAGTGGCGTGATGGCAGATTGAAATCGCAGGTACGAGACACTTCACTACAAGATAAATCTGAAAGCTTTTTTTTTTTTTTTTTTTTTTTTGCCTTTGGAACAATATTTAGAACACTGACTTCATGGTCTAGAGGGAGCAAAATCAACCTCAGAAAGAAAATGTTCATTGACAGCTACATGGCTACAGACCATTTTCACTTGGCTTAAAAACCCTAATAAGCTGAGAGCGACATTGGTTCGTGAGGGCAACTTTGATCTCATCCATGCTACACTGCTGTCTTTAATGTCACACTGGCCAGTCTTGCTTGAACATGATCTATTTTTTTTAATAAAAAAAAACCCAGAAGCAAGAGCAGAAATCCTGCAACCCCACCCCATAGCTATTTATTTTAGATAATTAACTTACAAATTTTAAAGGTATTATCATTCATTCCAATTGCGAAACTGATGCTGAATTATCTGCTTTGTCATAATCAGACTCAAGCTGCTATTAATTTTTCACTTTAATAATATTCAGTATATTGATAGCTCATTAATACTGAGTGAAACATTGGAAGCTGCATTATACCAAGTCAGAAAGTCTGTGTATCGGTGTTATCTGCTCTGAATGCAAGTGCTTCTCCAGAGCCTAAAGGTTTTGCTCATTTCCTGCTTCCTGATCCTTTCAACTGGGGTAGCTAGGGAATGAACCATGGAAAGCTTGTGCTTTGCCGCAGAGCTATTGTCCCTCCCCAAAAGAATTTAGGGCCTATTGCCTAATACTGTGGACCATGATCAGATGCAGGCCTACAAACAGGGCTGTTTCCAAACTATTTTGCAAATTAACATGCTGAGTATTTTAGCTCATTGACTAAGTTCAATATAATGTGACAACACCAGAGTTATGCAAGCTGCTCCGAATCAGGGACCTCTCTTTGGAATCAGCAAGATTCCATATGTTTAAGTTATCTCATAGGAACATAGGAAACTGCCTTTCACTCAGCAAAGTCACAGATCTATCTGTCTAGCTCAGTACACTACACTGATTAGAAGCAAATCTACAGGGCTTCAGACAGGCGTCTTACTAGCCATACCATGCCTGGGATGGGCCAGAGTGCCAAGATCAGCGCAGTGCCAATGCACTGGCAGAGCCAACCTGGCAATCCTGCTGGTGTATCTGTCCTGCACAGACCTCATTGCCACCTCACCCTTTCCCATCCTGGTAGGCAGCAGTGACATAGGTGTCCGGAGGTTAAGATGAGTGCCACTGTGCCATCCCATGGCCTGCTTTGGGGATAGGACGCCTTCTTATACCAATCCAATCCCTTGGTCCATCAAGCTTAGAATTGTCTACAATGACTGGCAGTGGGTCTTTCACAGCCCTGTTTAGAGATCTCTAGGATTTACCCTGAACATTTTACATGCACAAGATGTCTTCTATCACTGAGCTATGGTTGCTGTTTTTAAGTGAAGAATGCATTACAGGTTCTGTTATATTCGGTAAACCCACAGCAAGGCAGGTTTATTATTAACAAACCTTCCTTTATAAAATGTATTTCTCTTAGAAAGGTGCTCAGTGAACAATTCTAGAAGCTTGTCAACTCACAAAGATCTATGGGCAAAAAATACTCAGGGGCGCAGATTTAATATGAGGCACCGGGAAGTAATATTCCCTGTTTACCATTTAAATGTAAACTCTTGTGTTACATTATTCACAGTTGTGTAGCAAATATTAAAATGTGCATAAACATGATGCAAAACAAACAGAAAAGGAACAGTTGTAAAGTAACAGTGCAGATCAAAATATGATGTTCCCAAATGAAATGTTATGGAGTTACAGAAGAAAACCACTGATGTTGGCTGCATCCACACAACTAAAATGATTCACGATTTAGATTAAAAAAGAAAATGGTGATTAATATGATGACAAAGAGGTGAGCATTCCTTCTTGCCACATTTTGTATATTGAAAAATTATTCAAATGATTGGCTAAAGATGTATTCAGGGAATCATGGTGAACCCTCTGGAAAAGGATATCCATATCTATATATCCTAATTTATGATAGTTTTATTTAGTGCTGCATTGAAAAAGCAGCCCTTTCTGTTGGCTGCGAAATTGCCTTCCTGCATTTAACTCCCCCCCACCCCCACCCCCCGCTTTTGAATGAGGACCTATGAACATGAATGAAGTTTTCTCACTGTTCATGGGGAGGCAGGGACACCTCTTATCTTCTGGCTTTTGTGTGTGGTTCTCAGCGCAATATGGGAAGATAAGAGAGTACATTTTCCAGTTGCCTAGGTGGGCCTTGTGTCTGTCAAGGACTGCATTTCCCCAAGAGTAATCTGTTAGGGGCTGCACACAGGCAGTGAGAAGGAACACAGCCAAAAATAGGCAGGGTTACCTCCTTTTCGCTCTTATTTTCTGTCACCTGCTTCTGTGTCTTTCTTTCCTCCCTAGTAGTATATTGGGGTGAAAAGCTAGCTCTTCCTATACCAAAGGGTTATTTCTGGTCCCTTGGTATGTCATCATTCATGGACAGATCAGCTATATACTTACCAACAATCTAGTGCATTAAAATATATATTAACAGTTTGTGGTGTTCATTCTATTATACTTAAAAGCAAAAATAAAAGGTGCAAGAGTACAAAAGGAATGAACAGACTTGAATAACCTGCACTTAAGAGAAGCAAGGAAGATCAGGTGAGTCAGAAAAGACATGGACTTATTCCATTTTACATTCATAATGGGTTTTCACTAGGGGCGTAATCTGGATTTTTTAAATTCAAACATGGATAACGGTCTGCTTAAAATTAGTGCAAACCTGATCATGTAAACTAGGCTGAATTGCCTTCACCAATGATTTCCGCAAATGCAATTTATCTAATAAGTGTGCCACATGAACAGGAGAGTGATCACAAATTTAATAATTTGGATTTAATTACAGTTGTCCTCTGTGAAATGACAATCACATTTGTTGATTGCATTGCTGTTAACACTCCCTGAACCTTCTCTTCCTTTTTTTAAAGCATTGTGTTTTGATATTAATTTCTCAGTGCAGCATTGTCTTTTTAGAGCCTTGAAGAAAGAAAAATGTTCATTAAATATTCCCCCTAATCAGCTGTACTAAGATATGCTAAAAAAAATAAATTGCTTAATCAATCAATTCATCCATTTATTAGCAAGACAGCCACCAAGCTCCCAACCCATTCTGTTGTACCTGACAGGGTACAGAACGCGTGGCACTGTTTGGGTTCATCAAGAATTCTACTCCTGAGGAACAGCGTAGGTGCCAAAGCTATTATTCTGCCACCAGTCATTCTTCTTTCAAGTATGATAGCAAGTGTGATAGCTTTGCATGATCCTGCTATGGCAACAGAATGAGGGATGGCTCACCAGAAATGTACTGTAGCTACCACAAAAGAAGCACAGTCCAATTTGTGTTAAAATGTGGCACAAATATATTTTAATGGTAGAAAGGGTCTGGCCCTTTTGTCTCTGCATTGTGATTGCAAAGAGATTCACACCTTACCATAGCCAAACATGTTATTATGCTGGGAAAGCAGAAATTAAGATTTTAAAGAAATGTTCTACTTCTCACCCTGTGAAAAGTATAAAATTATCTGTTTGCACAATAGAGGGGGTGACAGATTTCAAACAACCTTCTGCACATTTTGATTCTGCTGAAATCAACCGTTTTCAGCACAATACTTTTTTATCATGCTTTAACATCGTATTGCTGCTGATCTCAGAAACATCTGGAATGAGAGTCAAACTAAACACACTGGCAGCAGATTGTGTTGCTTAGACACGGATCAGCCCCAGTCCAGTAGAAATATTAGGTGGGATATCTGTATCTTAAGTCAGAAGACAGGGGTTGTGAATTCATAGGCGGGAAGAAGAAGAAGAAGAAGAGTTTGGATTTGATATCCCGCCTTTCACTCCCTTTAAGGAGTCTCAAAGTGGCTAACATTCTCCTTTCCCTTCCTCCCCCACAACAAACACTCTGTGGGGTGAGTGGGGCTGAGAGACTTCAAAGAAGTGTGACTGGCCCAAGGTCACCCAGCAGCTGCATGTGGAGGAGCGGAGACGCGAACCCGGTTCCCCAGATAACGAGACTACCGCTCTTAACCACTACACCATACTGGCTCTCACAGCTTCTCAGAAAATAAGGTGGGCCATTTTGAGGTGTCCCCCTATCCGTCTATATTCTAAGCCAATCGGATGTGAACATGAGGAAAGTCACACATCTGTACTTGAAATGGCTCAATCTGTGGTATGGACCTGCGAGGCACCAACTTGGAGCTCCTCAACCTTGCCAACACCATGCCTTGTCACCATCCTAATGACCATTAGTACTGCTGCCACTTATGGGCACCACTGCCACTTCCTTCTTGCATGAACTGCTGCTTTGTGACACTCTGAAAAGCCTAAACTATGAGCCCAGATCACAGATGCTGACTCAGATGCACAACCACTTTTGCATTGAAGTTTGTCTTCGTTATAGCTGTTCACCCCACCAAATTCCTCAGATGCTCCTAAAACTCTATTTCTGGTGCTCAAGTGGTTCAAAAGAACTGAGGTGCCCTTTAACAATGACTCAGGGTGGCTGCTGTTTTAAAATGACAATGTGTCCTTTCTCAGATTTTCAACCCATGGCCTGCAGCTGCATATCCAGTTACAGTGGTACCTTGGTTCTCAAACTTAATCCGCTCCAGAAGTCTGTTCCAAAACCAAAGCGTTCCAAAATCAAGGCTCGCTTTGCCATAGAAAGTAATGCAAAATGGATTAAGCTGTTCCAGACTTTTAAAAACAACCCCTAAAACAGCAATTTAGCTTGAATTTTACTATCTAATGAGACCATTGATCCATAAATTGAAAGCAATAAACAATGTACTGCAGTCACACAATCAATCAATCAGTAGCTGAACTGGGTTCCACACAGTCACAAAAACAAAACAAAAAAGAGTCACAAAACAAAAACTCAAAATAAATAGCAAAAACTGACAGACCTCAGCAAAACACTCAAAACAGAAGCGTAGCACTCAAAACGGAGCACGTTCGGCTTCCCCAAAAAAGTTCACAAACTGAACACTTACTTCCAGGTTTGCAGTTGCGGATTCCAAGTTGTTTGAGTACCAAGGCGTTTGAGAACCAAGGTACCACTGTACTTCTGTGACATGTTAGCTGAGGTCTTTGCTGAAATTTCATCTGCTGGATGGGGGACAGGGATGCTCTCACAATATTGATGAATGATATTCAACTAAGTCCTACCTAAGTTATTTATGTTTATTAACCTGAATGGGTCTCCTCTCAATAGGACTAGCATTGACTACCACTCTCTGTTTGTAGAAATATTTTGCACATGTTTGACACAAGAGTTTCTGAATGTGAAACAAACTGAAAATTCCAGTGTACACATCCTATTCCCAGCATATACATATCATATGGCTTTTCTCTAACCCATGTGTGTGAAAATATGAAGCATCAACATTGCAAGGTTTTTGAAACAGTGGTTGGGCTTTTTATTAGATTTGAAACATTGCTTAGGAGTTTTATTATATTGATTTATTCACAATATTTTCTATCCATTTCCCCCTTAAAGCAGATGAAGTAGCAGAATTTTTATGATTTACTGCACAAAGGACTTCAAGACTCTTATTCTTGGACACATGTTTGCTTTATGAAGGAACATGTAAGAATCTACTATAGGTAACCAGACACTTTTGTGCACAGGATTATCTTGACACTTGCACAGAATATTTTTTTACTCCTGAAATAAATTTGTGCAGTGGCAGACTTGGGTATTATTGTTCCCTGTCCAATGCCAAAAAGTGCCTCCACCCACTAGCCCTTGGGCTGCCCTCCCAAAGGTGGGTAAGGAGGCACCTGGCTTTGGGAAGGAGGCACAAGAGCTCAGCAGGGTCCCACAGCCCTCCCATCTTTTTTTCAAATCTGGGAAAGCGCTAACTAGGTTTTGGGAAGTAGGCGGGTGGACTCTAGGACCCTGTCAGAGCCTCTTTCCTCCTTTCCAAAGCCCAGCACCTCGCTCACTGGGCTTTGAGATGACACCCCCTAGGCTCAGCACCCAATGAGTGCCCGCCCTTGTACATCCCTAAATCCGCCCCTGATTTGCAACAGGCTTCACCAATAAATCATTTCCTCCACTGGGCTTCCTGGGGTCAGAACAAAACAAATCCTACTCACCTCTTCAGCATGAATGCCGCAAAGCTTGCTTCCAGAAAGGAGTTTATTTTTCAGGCTTTTGTTCTAAAGGGAGGAGAATAAATATATAGATATATATCACCAGCATGCATTAAAATATTAAGAAATCATCTCAATATTTTAGCATGGTATATGTAAATATGATATTTAGGATAGCAGTGAGGACAAAAATACATTAAGAATGAAGATAAATATATAAATAGCACAAGTAGCATTTTCTCTTTCCTAGATGCCTGTGGAATTTACTTTTAAATAATCATTTGAGGAGACAGAAAAGCATACTTAAGTTTTCAAAAATAGACTGTCAATAAAGGTGGAAAGTATTTGTTTGGACTAGCCACAATATGGGATAGAAAGGGTGATAAGTTATGGAAAGACACTTTCTCCCACTGTTGACTTCAATGAAGCAATTCTAGTTTTTGCTATGTATGGACTTTGTCCCTAGTTTTAGTGCATTTTCAGCACATGAAGGGGCTTGTCTGAACTCCCCCGATGTCTTCACACATAAACGTCACTAGCTCAAGTGGAAGCTGCATTGGCACAGGGAATAATCATGTGAAGCATCCTTGTCACAAGTCACCACGCTTCAAATTTGACTGGATACGAAACCACATGGGACCTGCAAATACTGTTCAAGCAATTTAAGAACTGCCCCCACGGTCTTGTTACTTGGTAGCAGATTTAATATACAGATTCTGTAAACAGAGAGACTGAGTCTATTTTAATTCCATTCATCGTCAGGCTAAGAATACAGTGAAGCGGACCAGAAGCCTATGTTTGCTTATATGCAGGCACCAAACTAGCCACACATTTTAGTGTATGTGAAAAATTTCCCAGATACTTTGCAACAAAAGCTGTACCAAGTCTTTTCACTCTTCCCCCACCTCCATTTTCTGCCCTCATTATTGCACAGAAACCCATTACTATCTATATTTCATTACATGTGGGATATTAAGAAGCCTCATGAAAAAGCTAAAGTGGTTTCTAATGGATCTTATGTTTTTTTAAACACCATGCTACTCCAATCGAGGAGAGCTTGCATAATTAATACCACATTTTTAATATATTAACAACATTTACGACATTGACAAGCAGTGCAGATGTTCTGGATACAGGATGATCCTGTAAAGTGAGAGGCAGACGGCAAAAATTGCTTTCAGGCAATTTCCCATTTCTGGCTTTTATACAGCAAGTGTAATAATAGTATAGCACTTACTTACAGAGTCAAATAAAGCTCAGGAACCATTGTCTCGAGCCCTGGAGGCCCTATTTCTTTTCTATAAAACGCCACTTTGGGAAGGAATGATTCTGAGCAGAGAAACAGCAGGGAGAAGACTCATCTGTGTTGCTTTGCCCTGCAAAGGGTACTGAAACATGTTTTGGCAGCAACCCAACATGGGCAAAGTGGATGTTGCAGGATATGAAGAGGCATATAAGTAATGGATTAAGCACTCTCTCTTCTACTGTTGTTTCTCTACCCCTCCTGAGGTGTGTGTGTGTGTGTGTGTGTGTGTGTATTTCCCTTTTTTAAAAAAAGGTCATCACGATTCAGTACATTCACTTGGATGCAACATGTGTTTAGGTCTTGTGAGTTAATTATTTGGGGAAATCACCATGAAATTGGTGCATAATCTTTACAATTAAAAAAAAAATGTTGGTCTGGAAAGCTTTTCACACTAGATAAGACAATCAAAACTAGATGATTGTATCACAAGGAAGATGAAGGCTAGGGGTCTTCAGGAACCTCTCAAGGGAAGAAGAAGAAGAAGAAGAAGAAGAAGAAGAAGAAGAAGAAGAAGAAGAAGAAGAAGAGGAGGAGGAGGAGGAGTTGTTGTTTGGATTTGATATCCCGCTTTATCACTACCTGAAGGAGTCTCAAAGAGGCTAACATTTTCCTTTCCCTTCCTGCCCCACAACAAACACTCTGTGAGGTGAGTGAGGCTGAGAGACTTCAGAGAAGTGTGACTAGCCCAAGGTCACCCAGCAGCTGCATGTGGAGGATCGGGGACATGAACCCGGTTCACCAGCTTACAAGTCTACAGCTCTTAACCACTATACAACACTGGCACTTGGGAGTGCCTAAGGAGGAGTGGCTTGCGATTTTGCTCCCAAATTCAATAGCTCCATTTTATTAGTGGGAAGGACCATTTAATAAGTCAAATGAACTCCAGTTGGCTGAGGTGGGAAGTAATCTGACTATGCAGAGATTAAACATCAGGAAGAACTTTCTGACAGTAAGAGCTGTCCAACAGTGGAACGGACACCTTCCTTGGTGGTAGACTCTCCTTCCTTGGAGGTTTTAAAACAGAGTTTGGCTGGCCATCTGTCTTAGATGCTTTAGTTGAGATTCCTGCATTGCAAGGGGTTGGACTAGATGACCCTTGGGGTCTCTTCCAACTCTACAATTCTATGATTCTGTGATTCTATTAACTACACACAGGGTCAGTCTGGGGAGAGGGATTGCCCCTTTTCCTGGAGAGGAGGCAGAAGAAAGGTTTCTGCTTGTCACAACCAGTAGGAGAAATATCAGAGGAATATCCTTCACCTTGATGCAATAACTCTCAGGAAAAATGAAAAGAAAAGAAAAGGGCTAGAGCATTTCTCTTTGATTAATTTCTGTTAAATGCCATCCCATTACTTTTCACACTGCAGCATGCAGTGCCTAGGAAATCCACATCAAAACATATTTCAAAAATGAAATATGTGAAGTCTTTCAATGACAAGCAGCTGTAAATGATATGGAAACGAAGCCCTGTGCATTTGATTCTTTTAGATAAGCACACTGCAGTAGTAATGCAAATTTATTTCTAACTAGTAATAGCATCCTCTAAAATTATGCATGGGAAACATGTTATCAATTGAAACAGAATATTAATTGAATTCAGTACATCAAGCCAGATTTAAGTCTGCATTCTAATGGAAACTCTGAAAGTTTGAGTTGTAAATAAGACATTTCTTAGTTTTATTGGATGAAATCTGCTTGCTAAGACCGATGCAAAAAATAATTCCCATTCACTGTTTACATTTGAAATCCCTCATGTGTCCTTTGCACAATTCCTGGGTAATGACAGCATGCAGCATCTTGTTTCACACACATTTTAACTTGTTCCTGTCTATTACCCACTGAAAGTGGCTCCTTCTGCAATGATAAATCGCTTCAAGCTGCTTGATGCAGGTGTTTGTGGCACTATGAGGCAATGAAGAGGAACTACAATATTATTCTACAGAGAACTCAGAATTCACACTTTCAGCACATCTCCTCGTTTCTTTGGAGCACCTATGCAAAGCCAGTCAATCAGCACAAACTGGAAGAGACTAAGGATTTTCTGCCATGCATTAATTGACTTTGTCCTCAACAAAGTACATGCCTGAGCTGGCATTTCACAGCTATAGTCTACAATGTCCCTTTTGTTCTGATGCCAAGGGCCAGTTGGTCTAAGCCATCCTTAGGTTACTTTACACCTGCTGAGTCTTATGCTGTGCCAAGGGCATTTTTTAAATATACTTATGGATTGACTCTACAATTTTTTTGCATAGAGCAGGGGAGCCTCAGAGCAGCAGCAATGCACTTCAGCTTTGGGGAGCTTACATCTTTCTTACTTTATTTGGATTTTTTCCTCTGGCCCGGTGTTCAATATTGTAAACCCAGAGCAAAGTATCCAGGCAGGAGACAGTGGGAAATCTGGCACAAAAAGTGATTTTCTTTCCAAAGACAAATGCAGAGACTCTGAACTACAGTTCGATCTAGTCAGGCCAGAGAAGAGGAGGTCAAGGGCATCACAGCGCTCCGAAGGATAACTCGATTAATTATAAACCAATCCGAAAGAAAGCTTGAGAGGAATACTGAAAGCTGGCTGCATTTTCACAGTGAACAGAAAGAAATCTGAGACCTGGGAAGGACATGGTAAGCCTAAGGCAAGAACATCACACTCTTCACCTCAAATTAAGAATGAGTTTGAAGGTAACTTCTATTCACTGTTAAAGCAGGAGGTGCTAAATTCAGTGATAATTACTGTGCTAATGCGTTGCTCATTTGGCTATGATACCTCTGGAGGTGATTATGGGGGAGGGACATTGAATCTACACAGAGTGCATATCCCAGTTGTTACACTTCACTAACGTTTGCAACTGCTTCTTGTACCACCAGCCCACTCCACACTACAAGCAAGTGCAGTTGAGCAACCCACAAGGTCCCTGCCATCGCTGCTGAGGGAATCATGCTTTGAACCTGCAAAAAAGGATAGCTCCTTCTTCAAAGGTACTTGTGTTAACTCAATTTCATGGTTTCCACCTTAGTACCAAACAGAGAGTGGGAAGTGTCCATAAAGAAACACCTTTATCTTAACATTCACCAACACTGACACCTTTACTTCTTTATGCAGGGCACTAGTTATGGAACTCACTCCCACAGAAGGTGGTGATGCCTGCCAATGGCCTTGAATGAGGAGCAGACAAAATCATTGAAGTCTATTGAGGGCTACTAGCCACAATAGCTACACTAGGCCCTCCACATTTGTAGCAGCAATGCTTCTGAATACCAGTTGCTGGAAATCACAGGAGGGAAAAGTGCTCTTATGCCTGAATCATCTTTGCAGGTTTCCCACACACATCTGGTTGGCCACTGTGAGAACAGAATGCTGGACTAGATAAGCCATTTCCCTGATCCAGCAGGGCCTTCATATGTTCTTAAGTTTAGTAGTGTCTACAGAAAAACAGGAAACTGCCTTATCCCAGGTCACATTGTTGTGGGAATGTTCAGGGAGGCAGGAGAGGATATATTGTTTATTAATATCCTTCCTAACTTGCGCTAGCAAGTTATAACTTAGCAGAGTTTTACATTCCCCTTTTAAACGCACAGCAGATAGCTGGTTGCAGTCTTGCTTAAGCCTCTCACTACCATACAATTCAGTATTGAATTGTATGTTCCTGGTAAGGTAAAGGTAAAGGTACCCCTGCCCGTACGGGCCAGTCTTGACAGACTCTGGGGTTGTGCGCCCATCTCACTCAAGAGGCCGGGGGCCAGCGCTGTCCGGAGACACTTCCGG